CATATGTCATGTATGTAAATAAATAACTTAGCAGAAAAGGACTATGTATTAGCCTAAACTCTTCAAACATTGTAAAATACCATTCACAACATCATGTAATTATAACAAAGAGTGAAATAAATTGAAATTGAAATTGAAAATGTATATATATTTCAATAATATCATTTGAAAAATATGATATTAAATGCTGTTTTGCCTTCTACTACCATTTAAGAATTGTACGGAGATGTCGAGTATTAATTCGACAAATATATGTATGTATGTCTCATGTTGAAATGAAACTCAAAGTTATAAGTAAAAGTCGTAAAAGTGCAATAAATAAATAAATATACAGTAGAATCCGGTTTTAGCGACACTCAAGGGACCGTCGATTTTACGTCGCTATACCCGGAGGACGCTTTAACCAGAAAGCGTAAAAAATATTTTGTTTTCATTTTTTTTACGGTTGCCATGTTCGTAATAGCTTTTACTATAAAACAATGTAAATTTTTAATCAAAATAACCATTATTTATAAACTTATTTCAATAACATGGTTTAGAAACATTTTTGTGACGTCGGCATTGTACTTTGTCTGCCTCCCTCTCTCTGTCTTAGCAACATTTGTGGCGTTGCTACGCACACAAGCAAGGGTACTGATCACTGATCAATACATACATGTATACATTTCTAACAGATTCTATTTATGCTGAAATTTGTTGTCATTATTTCGCGATTTTTTTTTATTACGTCGTAATAACCGGTAATTGAGAGGAGACGTACTAAGCGGAGGCTCTTTCATATAAGTTTGTATGGGGACCAACCAAGACATCGAATTTTCGTCGACATAACCGGTTGGACGCTTTAAGCGGAGTCGTTATAACCGGATTCTACTGTATTTATATAATAATGATCAAGTTTCCATGTGATAAACTGTCTTTATAGAGTAATAAACTCACTTTACTTACCGTATACATACATATTTATTTACTTTTATTTATATACATATATGTATGAAAGGACTGCAACAGCTTTTGATCGGAACTGTTAAATAAAGTTTGTTTAAAACAAGTAAAACGCATGAAGGTCAATTGCAGCACTCTGAATATGCAACTTGTGTCTGTGGATGTGTGTGTGTGTGTGTGTGTGTGCTGGTGCGTTTGTTTGGTTTTGTTGGCCCCCTTTACTTTTGCAGTCTAGACTCGAATCAGACTTAACATTCAACATTCAAAGCTCAAAGCGAATGGCGCTCGTCGGCAATTTGCCTTTAACCTCATTAGAAACAAAACGGCGCCAATCCCGCTCAGGCCCCCACCTCAGCTCCGCCCTCTTTGGCAAAAGTTATTGGAAATAAATGTTTTGTTCAAAAAATAAAAACAGAGTAGAAGAACAGGAGTTTTATTAAAAGAGTGACGAGGGTGGCTTTGTGATTTGTGGTTGGGGTGCATTAAATGCAACCCTCACAGCTTTTACATGGAGCTCGGTTCGAATTGTTTGGATTTGGTTTTCTTGTTCTCTTCATTCTTTCTTTGTGTGTACGTACACATAGCCACTGGACCTGCGCATATTGGTTGTGCACACACACACACACCCACACACACAGAGCGACTTCTATTCCGTAGTGGCGTCTCTTTTGCTCACATCGGACGAGCCAGGCCGCAACCACTGACACTTTCAAATGAACATCCTTTGTGTTTGTTGTACATGAAGCATCATTATGTTGGTCGCTCGGGCACTCAGCTGAGCTGGTCGACGGGGCTCGTGGGCGTGTGGCCGTGTGGGGCAGCTGGTCAAGTGGCGCAGCTTCTGCATGACTCAGCCGCACTGATTGGAGCATCAAGCACTCCAAGTTCTTCGACTCAATCATCTAATGCCGCATTAAATATTCCATTTCGATATTGGAAACCAATTAAGAATGACTTGAAAACGAATTCGAAATACCCTTTGGCAGTTTTAAGTAAATATAATTTATATTTTCATAATACAATATATGCAAATTATAGCACACATATATACTCTACTAACATCTTGTAGTTATAGAAAATATTTGATATTGACATAAATTGGGTTTTATTTCCTAGAATATTTTGCTTGATTTAAGCCTTGTTGTAAATATATATCGTTTTTTACAATTTTGAAATAGTTTATATGCAAAGTATTAGAAGTGACTGACGTCTTTTCACCTGAAGAGGTCTAAGCTTTGATGTAGAATTTCCTTACTCGTTTAAACCCCATCTATAGGGTTATACATCATATTATGTATATATCTATACATATATATAAATATATGTACA